TTGTAGGAGGTAAAAGTGCAGTTTGGTGGGAAAGGCAGAAGATACACAGGACGGAAAAGGGACAGCAAGGGCAAGGGTGAGTGTCTGTGTTTTGTTTCATTTTCAACACATTGGACGGAAGGAGAAGTTGGGCATATAGAGGTGGGAGGCCTCATGTGGATAGGTAGGGGACCTACATTCTTTTTAAAAAAATATATATTTGCATTGATTTTATAGAGACAGGAAGGGAGAGGGAGAGATACAAACATCAATGATGAGAGAGTCACTGATCAGCTGCCTTCTGCACGTCCCCTGCTAGGGACCGAGCCCGCAACCCGGGCATGTGCCCTGACCGGGAATCGAACTGAGATCTTCTGGATCGTAGCTCGATGCTCAACCCGAGCCACGCGGTCCATGCGGGGAATTACATTCTTTATCTCTCTGCCCAGCCCCCATGTCCCAGTCTGCACACATCTGACTGTTTTACTATTCATTTGGACTCTCCCACGTATTGCCGATACGCTAACCAATCACAACAATACTCTTTTCTACACATGGTTCTATTTTAACTCCTTTTATTTCCTTTCATTTTTTTTGCATGAAGTTAAAATATAATATGTTGATAATTAAGGTGATGAACAAAGCTTCTATCACTACTAAAAATGGTTGCATTGCTATACTTTAAAAAACTATATTGTCTTAAATTTCTGACAAAGAAAGAGCCTGCCTCTGTCACTAAACACAACTACTGATTTTCTCTTATTAAGTCAGTTAAGCTAATGAAACCAGAATCATTTTAAAATTTCAAGATTCTATAATAGTATTAGGTAGGTTCATTTTCCACCAACAATCAGTGTGGCTATTTGGTGTTCAAGGACTAAACCACTCTCTGGGGACTTGTCAGAAGCCCAAACCTCCAAAATATGTATTATGTTCTTCTTTTAGCCTTTCCCAATTCAAAAATTCCACCTGCCCAATCATCATGGAAAATTTAAATAAAATCATATATAAAGTTATTGGTAATATTAAGTTTTCAAATCACAAACAGAATTGACAATGACTGCATTTTCTCCAAATATACTTTTTCTATTTACCTGCAGTATTTCTAAAATCCTGTGTTGAGAAATTTAATTTTAAATTTTTAAATTTTTTTTATTTTTAAATTTTTAAAAAATCCTCACCCAAGAATATTTTTTCCCATTGCTTTTCAGAGAGAGTGGAAGGAAGTGAGAGAGAGAGAGAGAGAGAGAAACATCGATGTGAGATGAGACACATCAATTGGTTGCCCCCTGCAGGAGCCCCAACCTGGAGCTGAGCCTGCAACTGAGTTTGAGGTACATGACCTCAGCTGGAATCGAACCTCGGACCCTGCAATCAGTCTATGGGCTGACACTCTAACCACTGAACCAAACTGGCTAGGGCGAGAAATTCTCTTTTTCAGTCTTGATCTTTAAAAATCCTAGTTCTCTCATTTTAGAACAGTGTGAAATGCTATTGTCTCTTTGGCAGCCACATTACTTATGCAAAGTGAATAGAGAAGGACTTTCCTCCAGACTTCAAGATTAGATTCATTTTGCTCAGTGTGCTAATTCCAGCATAACATTCTCCCCTGGAATATAGATTTTCTTTCCTAATATTTTATCTTTGTGTAAAAATTGCAAATTCTTGGTCAGTAGAATGTACAAAATTTTCCTGTTGTTTGGCTTTCCCTTAAATGTCTTTAGGGTATCTTTTTGAGCTATTCTTACTTTTATGCACCAAGTATCATATTAAAGCCACTTTTAAAATTTGACTTCTCACTAGTTCAGTCTTATTTCTCAACATCAACTCTTTCTATAATCTAGAGGATTCTTCCTTACGTTATTTAATTTGCAATCTGCTATGATTTGAATGTTTGTGTGTCTCCAAAATTCTTATATTGAAATCCCAATTCCCAAAGATGATAGTATTAGAAGGTGGGGGCCTTTGAAAGGTGTTAGGTCATGAGAGTGAAGCCCTCACCAACGAGATTAGTGTCTTATAAGAGACCCCACCGAGATCCCCAGCATCTTTCAAGAAGTGAGGACAGGGAGAAGGAGCTGGCCATGAACCATGAAGGGGGCCATTACCAGAATGTCACCATGCTGGCACCTTCATCTTGGGGTTCTCAGCTCCAGAACTTTGAGAAATAAATTTCTGTTGTTTATAAGCCACCTAGTCTGTGGTATTTGATTATAGCAGCCTGAACAGACTAAGAAGACATCATCTTAAGCTTGAGGGTATCGCTAACTCAATTATCCAGTATGCCTCCACTAACCTTCCTCACCTTCGTTTAAATGATCAGAGGACTGCAAGTTATTCAGGGAGTTTAAAATAAAGATCATTAAGGTAACCATTATTGTCAGAAGGGATTAAAATATAATTACTCATTCTGGTTCTTTTATGAAACTGCTATTCAGAGAGAACAATCTGGACACCAAGAGTGTCACTGCTACTGGATTGGTCATTGTTTCTGTACCGTTTTGGTAGATAAAGCCATGGATATGTATTCTTTTAGATTTAAAGGTAACACACATCACAAGCTCTTTTTTTTAAAGTTTTATAAATAAAACTTTATTTATAAAAACAAGTAGTGGGCCATATCTGGCCTGAGGGCTCTAACTTGCTGACTCCAGCTCTAAATCATAGTGAGAAGTTAGTGGAAACAAAGAGAAGATATTTCACATGGTGTTTTCTGTAGAGATGGTGATATCAAAACCACACCATGAGTTCTTACTGACACTTCCAACTAAAATTCAGGATTACTATAGAGTTTTTACCTAACTTTGTGCATTTGTATCTCTGTTCGACCGAGCTGATGTATCAGTTCTCAAAGATACCAAGAATCATTTAGCACACGATACAAGCACAACAGTATCAGACTGACAGTAACAATACAACCACCAGCAATATGAGTACTAGAAGTAAAGGTTTTCTTCTGTAGTCCTTTTTAATATTTAAAAATACATCCCTTTTGGAATGTATAATCAAAATACGGGTTTTTAAAGTCACTTAGAATTGTTCCATATTGCAAGGTTTTGCCTCTAATTCGAACCACACTAAAATTGATTCACTTCAATTTGTTACTTTAATATTTTTAGAAACCAATTTTAAAATTTATTTTATTTACTTTTATTTTATGTAAAATATTTGCATGGCTCCCAAACCAAATGTACAAGGTGTATTCAAAGAAGTATGGCTATTATCTTTGTTTCTTTCTGCCTCCTGCCTATCCATAAGTAATATATTTTTTGTGTGAGTGGTTTATTTCTCCAACTTTTAGAAATATATAAATGTAATACTAAACAATGACAATATACTATTTACACTTTTCTCCACCTTACTTTTCTCATTCATATTAGTAGGTAGACGTCTTCATTTCTTCCTACACTGGAATAGTACTCCCTTGTGTGGATGCACCATACTTTTGATTCATCCAGTGCCCTACTGATGGATTTGGGGGTACTTTTAGTCTTTTTTTTATTCAAGGTAGTCTTGCAAAGAATATTCTTCTACATATGCCTTTTTCTTATTTTTGTTAGTATATCTTTGGCACAGATTACTAGAAGCAGGAATTGCTCTGTCAATGAGCAAATATGCATGTATTGTAATTTAGATATTGCCAAATTTCCCTCCATAGTGTTGTACTATTTTGCATTTCCAACTATAGTATATGAGAATGGCTGGTTTCTTTCAGCCTCATCACAGAGTATGTTGTTAAACTTGGATTTTCGTCAACCTGCCAGTTAAAAATAGGTTTCTCAACTTGGTTTTGGTTTAAATATCTCTTATAACTAGGTTGTTTTTCATACCATTAGGAGCCAATTCTGTCCTCTTGACAGAGTCCCTCTTCATTAATATCCATGAACACCGCCCCCCACAATATCCCAATTTTTCTATTTCTTGAGTTGTTACTTTTTAATCTCTTTTTCTAGTTTCATTTCTCCTGTTTGTTTCCTAAATACTCCTCTTTCTCTGAATTGTGCCTTAGCGTTTCTTTTAAAATCCACTTCTTGGACTGTCCTAGCCATTGCTATCCTTACTGCTAAGTGCACGCCTCCAGCCCAGGGCTCTCTGCTTCTGTCCCCCCAACACACTGCCTACCGGAGGTGGCGGATGGTGCCTCCCGGGCACCTGAAACCTCCCCTGGGCCACGCTCCTCCCTGCCGCCCCTTCCCCTGGCCTTCCCCGGGGCAGTGAGCACGGCCACACATTCCCAGTCGCCCAGTCATACGCCTGGCTTTTGTCCTGATGGCTTCCTCTCTCCCCTTTCTTGCAGCAAATCCATCACCAGTTTTTGTGGCTTTTATCCCTTCAATGGCTCTCAAATCCATCTACGTCTCCACATCCCAAACTACTGATCGAAGCCACTGTTCCGCCCTGGACTGCTGCTGCAGCTTCCTTCCAGGTGGCATTGCTTTTTCTGGCTCCCAAACATGGTCAGACTTACCTTTGAAAACACAATGATTTAGTGCCATTTACTAGCTTAAAAACCTCCAAAGGCTCAAAAACAAAAACCCTAAACAAAACAAGTCCCAAGTCATTTTATTTCCATAGGTACATATGTATGTCAGTGAAGGCTACAGAGCTCGGGACAGTCAACAATAAACTGACAGCAGAGGTTACCTCTGGGGAGAGGGGCGGGATGACAGGCAATGAAGGGGATGTCGTGGGTGGGATGAGCGTTGGTGAAGAGAATTTCAGTTTTCATCATTATTAGAATTATTTAAATTTTTTACCATTAGAGTATTTTCAAGTATTACTTATATATTTTAAAATAAATTATATAGGCCAAGAAAGGGAGCTTTGTCTAGCTCTGAGGCAGATGGGGTTCACCTGCAGGTTGTACAAATTCCAGCGCCAGGTCACCTGGAAGAGACCTCAGATTCCCTACACACACACACACATGCACGCACGCACGCACGCACGCACGCACCCTGGGTAGCAAACATTCTCCTCTTGGCCACTGTTCTGCCTGAGGACTTCACTCCAGGAATTCTTACCTTTGTGGTCCACAGTTTGACAGTCCAGTCAAATGATGACGTGACAAACAAGTGTGAAAAGTCGATGGGGCCCACTGCCATGTGGCAGTTAATTCCTGTGACTGGCCCTTGGTGACCTTCGAAGACCTCACCGATCCCAGCTTTGCTGCACGAAGACCACACATGAACAGAGTTTCAGGGACCTCTGCAAAGCCACGGTTACTTTAAAAAACAAATATGTCTCTGCATGAGCACCTCCCGAAAACTTAGCACAAACACTGTACAGCACCAATAGGAAACTACTTTCACAGTACCTTGAGAGAAAGAAAATACTAGACTACTTCTGGTGATTAAAAAACAATTTGGTACAATATTAATCTTCTTAAGACGATAGTGAGGTGAAGGCCCGGGGAGGGGATGGGAACAGGGAGGAGGGGGGTCAATGGGGCGCAAAAGGGGGACATCTGTAATACTTTCAATAATAAAGATAAATTTTTAATTTTTTTCATCATTTAACCCTTTTTCCGGAGTTTCTCAAATCCTATCATTGTTGCTGCAGCTACTTTGATGAAAAAAAACACATATACTTAGATCTCAGAAGCTTTCATGTTTGTAATAAGACTATCCTGTTACGATCACATTCTGTGAGTGTTCCATTTTAATTTCTTCTGCAGAGCCTACTGGCTGTAAAACTCCATACATTCCTGTATAAATATATTTATTTTTTCAAGGGAATTTCTTAAATTACGTTGACATACCTGAATATGTAATACTTTGGAAACCCTTGCCACTGCAAAATAATGTGAACCTAATGTGGATAAAACGATGCTTTCACTGAAAGCAGAAGAGAAATTTACAAATCCAGTAAATGTAAATGATAAATTCCAGAAGGGCTCGTGCCTTGTTATGATATTATATTAGCATATAATAAGTGCTCAATAAATATTTGTTGAAACAAAGAGCAGAGGAAAAGAGACAAACTTCTGCCTTTTTTCTAACAGAAGCACATTTGAGAATTAGTGATACCCATTTAGAAATTTATCCACCGACATATGTCACTTATTTAACTAAGCTGGCATTATTTCCAGGCCCTATGATCACACAATAGTCTGCACTCAATCATACCCAATTAGAAAATATAGCAAAATGCTGTATTTTAGAAATCCATGTGTATGAGGTGATAAATATGACAAATACATAAGGATTGTAGAATCTATAAATATCATGTTACTAAGAGTAAAAATGAACTGAGTTATTAAAACATTGGGGCTTCTGGAGCACCAATAAATGTCAATGTGCTGAGCAAAATCCGAAATCATGAGCAAAGTGCTGCAGTGTGTGTTCTGTGCAACAGGCACTCAAATTATGCCCAGTGAAACTGCTAACAGCAGTTCCACACGTGAGCCTCTAAATTTGTTCTAATGAACACGAGGAACTGATCTTTGAAGTGGCCCCTGGTGAGACTCCACTTGCTCTTAACAGCATCCTGAAAGGGTTTATAGGGTGCAAAATGAGGACTTTGTTTAATTTATGGAAGTAGATTTTCACCTTCTCTGTGTTAGGTGAAAAACAGAAATCCCCCCTCTTCCCTGTAGCCCTCTATGACCCATTTAAAATTACTACAAAGCCAAATGCCTGCTACTTTACAACTTTACAAAGCCCTGCGTTTTATATTTCATATGGACGGACCGATGTAAAAGCATAATCACGTGTGCTGTAAAAAGATTTGTGCTGTGTCCCACAGATACCCTTCTTTTGAACTACAGTGTATATTCTGACGGTGCTTGGAAAACATAATAGCTACAGGACAAAAATATTCATCATGTAAAAGATTATTCACAGAATAATCCAACAAACAAAACTGAAAGTTATCAATGGCCATGTTCTGCAGTCTTCACAAGTAATTAAGGTCCTGGATTAAGTCAATGGAACCTAGGCCCTGTTGATTATAAAAAATGTACAGACAGAGCTGTGACTCTGTGTTTGGCCCACTGCACTGTCTGTGCCTCTCTCATGACACTTATGACATTTTACCTGTATTGCAAGTATTTGTGTGTTTAACTTTCCCACCATCATCAGTTTCTTGAAGCTAGGAGCCTGGTTTAAGTGATGTTTGCATGCCTGGCAGCATCTAGCAATGCACTGCTCAAAGTAGGTGTGCAGTGAATGTCTGCATGAATGAACAACTTTATCAGATCTTGTTATGCCTTGATAAGACTTTAATGCATGTTTTTAGCCAGTTTTGATGAAGTAGAGCCTTTAGGCATGGGACTAGGAGGCAGGTCTACCCAGTCATCTTTAAACCATGGGAGCAGGGCAAATACTGCTTGTTACTATGTGCAGAACAGTAGGAAAAATCACATAGCTGAGCCATGGGTGCTTGTTACTTCTACAAATCACAGAAACAGAGGAGTATGAACTTGGAACAGTTTGTGCTTCCTCATTATATCTAAATAGCCAACGATGAGTGCAAGAGATGAAAAATCAATCGAATTAGAACTAAAGTGAGAGAAATTAAGCACCGAGGTGAACACAGTGAACCTTTCGAAAGATGTGAGGCTGCTCATTAAGTCTTACATGCAATTTTACAATCTAGTCTAAATTACTGGATTTCACTCTATCCTGATGGTTTTCCAGGGGGCATCTGCCAACCTCTCAATCAAGGCCAAGTTCTTACCACCTGGGAACTTCACAGTGGCTTGTGTATCTCCTACTTTTCCAATCTCTGTGTCAGGGAGGAAGGGCTCTGGGCACTTCTCTGTATTACCAGGATACTATCATTTCTTTATTTCCTGTATAGATTTTTGGTTCTCCACTTACTGTGTGCCAGGCAACAGGCAGGGAATCAACGATGAAATGAAAATAGTTTAGTAAGAGCAAAATGGCAGATGAGTGAGTAGTTGAAATAAAATGAGATCAATTATTGCAGAAGCATACATAAAAATATATAAAATAGCAAATCTGACAGCCCATGGCCCTGTCCCATTTATTCTACTTTAATTTCTCCATAGTGCATAGCATCTTAAATCATGTATTTACTTGCTTATTAGTTGATTGTCTTTTGCCCTCAACCAGAACACGAACTCCATGTCTGTTTTGTTCCTACTGCGTCCCTTATGATGTAATGGGGCCTGGCAGAGGGTAGGTTCAAGGTAAATACTCCTTGAAGGAATTACGAGTAAAGGAATGAAAATTCTATGGAAAAGTAAAGGAGGGAATGGTTTCCTTTGCCCAACAGAGTTTGAAGAGGCTTCAAAATGCGGAGGGACCTCAGTGCTGGCTCTGAAAAATGAGGGGGAATCATCCAGGCCAACCAGAGAGATGCGCCAGGCAGGGAAAGAGAACCCCAGTGTGCAAGCTCATGGAGACGCGGCCTATATGGGGACTCATCCCTGCTGGGTGCGTGGCTCTAGCCTGAAGGCTGAGCCTGGAAAGGGGCAGGGAGTTAAGGGTCTCAGAAGATATGCTAAGAAGCCAAGACTTTTTGCCCTCAAGGCTTTTTCCATCAGAAGCTTACAAAAGGCTAATGACCTGAGCAGACAGGTGCTATACCATAATGAAGACTTGAGGTGCGCTTCGCATTTCTTTGGAAAGACCTTTCTCATCATGGAGAATGCCATCTCATCATGCAAGGTGGTGAGAATGGAGAATGCCATCTCATCGTGTAAGGTGGTGAGAATGGAGAATGCCCTCTCATCATGCAAGGTGGTGAGGATGGAGAATGCCCTCTCATCATGCAAGGTGGTGAGGATGGAGAATGCCCTCTCATCATGCAAGGTGGTGAGAATGGAGAATGCCATCTCATCACGCAAGGCGGTGAGAATGGAGATGCCATCTCATCACGCAAGGCGGTGAGAATGGAGAATGCCATCTCATCACGCAAGGCGGTGAGAATGGAGATGCCATCTCATCACGCAAGGTGGTGAGGATGGAGAATGTCCTCTCATCACGCAAGGTGGTGAGGATGGAGAATGCCCTCTCATCACGCAAGGTGGTAGGATGGAGAATGCCCTCTCATCATGCAAGGTGGTGAGAATGGAGAATGCCATCTCATCATGCAAGGTGGTAGGATGGAGAATGCCCTCTCATCACGCAAGGTGGTGAGAATGGAGAATGCCCTCTCATCACGCAAGGTGGTGAGGATGGAGAATGCCATCTCATCATGCAAGGTGGTGAGAATGGAGAATGCCATCTCATCATGCAAGGTGGTGAGGATGGAGAATGCCATCGCAGACTTTGGGAAAATGAGGAACACATCACGGGTAAGAAAACAACATCACCTTCCATGACGACAGGCCGTGTAGACTGTGCCCTCCTCGCTGCCAACCACGAAGTTATTGACGTCGCCCGTCGGGAAAGCCATTCCGGTAACAGCCACGGGCTTGGACTTGTTGTACACCAGCTCCATGCTCTCCTACCAAAACACGGCGCGGTTACACTCCCTGTCAGCTCCTCGCCGTGCCAANGCAGACTTTGGGAAATGAGGAACACATCACGGGTAAGAAAACAACATCACCTTCCATGACGACAGGCCGTGTAGACTGTGCCCTCCTCGCTGCCAACCACGAAGTTATTGACGTCGCCCGTCGGGAAAGCCATTCCGGTAACAGCCACGGGCTTGGACTTGTTGTACACCAGCTCCATGCTCTCCTACCAAAACACGGCGCGGTTACACTCCCTGTCAGCTCCTCGCCGTGCCAAAGACAGCACGGAAAAATCATTTGGCTCAGTCGTCTGTTTGCTTTTCACACAGCGTTACAAAAGACCCCGGCTGTGCCAGAAACCACGCTTTACTGCCCCTGACGTTCGGGCTTCTGTGTATCTCTGGTTTCGGGCGGCTGGGTTTCATCAGCGCCTGCTGCCGCCGCGGCCAGGCAGAGATGACAGGTGAGAATTTTGAAACTAATGGTGCAGAAACTAAAGATAATACTGTAATGGTTACACTTGTCAGCCCCAGGCTTTAATAAAACACACAATACCCTTGTATTTACAAACATTTTCAAAATCAATTGTTCGTGAGACGACACATGTATTAATATCAGATGTACTAAGCCCATTTGTCAAAGCAGGAGTGTGTGTCCTCTGTGGACTAAAACCAGAAAGTTGTCACTCGGGTCAGAAAAACCAGATTTCAACAGGGCCTAGATTTCATAAAGGGCGGCCATTGGGTGTATAGGCTATAAGCCTGCAAAGAAGAGTGTTTAAATTAGTGTTTAAAATAGTAAATGAGAGTCTTTATTTCATCTAAAATTATTTTTTAAATCGAGAATCAAATTGTATTTTAAAAGACATTCGGCTGAGTTAAGTTTAATGACAGTGAGGAATATTTAAGTATAACTAATAACCTTGGATATTTTTGCTACTTTCAAACAGCCTACTATGTGCACCTGAAGTAACTTTTTGTTGTTGTTGTTAATTGTCACCAGATATTCTTTCCATTGATTTTTTTTTTAGAGAGAGTGGAAGGGAGAGAGAGGAAGAGAGAGAGAAACATCGGTGTGAGACACATCGAATGGTTGCCTTCCACACGCGCCCCTGTCAGAGCAGGGGATCAAACCTGCAACCCAGGTACCTGCCCTTGACTGGGAATCGAACCCAGCCCTTCAGTGTGAGGGCTGACACTCTAACCACTAGGCCACACTGGCCAAGGCTGAAGTAATTTTTAAAAAATTCATTCTAGGGGATCATGTCATTATAGCTGCTTGGGAATGTAGTCTTTTTTTTTCCTCTCTTTTTTTTCCAAAACAAATTGGGTCAGCTCAGCCAAGGAGGCCATAAATTAGAAGCGCATGCTCACGGTCTGGGCAGTGCAGGCCACATGCTCACATGATGTGCTCGCAGTACTGAGCGCCACCAGCGCGAGTGCATCAGGGAGGGGACCCTAGGACAACACGCTCCACTGACAAAGTTAGCAGGGGGGAAGGTACAGTCTCTTGGTTGCCCACTTGGGACAGAGAGGGACCAGAACTCCAAGCTGGCTTCCTACCATGCATCCCTCAGTCTGTGCAGAGAGACGGGAGTCTGCGGGGGTGCTAAGACTAAAAAAAATGGTCTTGTAGCCCCTGTGTGACTGGGTTTAACAAAAACAAAGGCACGTTTAATCAGCAAAATGGGCAATTAAAAGTTCCTAATTAGAGAGTTTGCTCTTATATCTGTTTACAATCTTCATGCTTTTAAAAGAAAACAACATATTGCTGAGAATTTTAAGATGAAGTCACAGAATATCCTCACACCACTCCTGACTTACATGATGTTAAAGTCAGCAGAGACAGAGTAACTTAAATTGTAAGAAGCTTATTGGCTCCCCCCACCAAAACAATTTAAAAAAGAATTTCTTTAACCTTAATATTCTCTATCTGTATTTTGTGGAGATTTCCGGGAGGTTCTTACGGTTTCTACATTTCCTTAGGTATCTCGAAACTTCAGTGTTTTCTAAAATCATGAGACAGTCTTGGGGCATTGTTCCAGGAAATTTAAAATAGGAATATTAAAATTGAGAATTATCTCTTAGATATCTTTTACAATTTTCTTCATGTCCCCTCACATTTTGGTCAGAGGCTATAGCAATAAGTTCTTCTCTGTGTTTTTAGTTGGAAGATAGTTAAGTACTTTTTTCCCACAAGGAAGTGTGAATATAGCGTGCCCATGTTTGTAGGCAGTATCTCCGTGTGTGTTTGTATACATACAAATATTCTGAAAGCTGCATTCAGATGCCTCCCCTCGTCTGACTCTTCCATTCTATTCCTTTGTTTGGTTCCCATTACTGTAATCAGTAGTGGTTTGGAACCTTTGGAATTTTATCATTTTTGACTTTTCATTTGTTGAGCAAGGAATGTCAGGAGCCGTACTAAAAAACATTCCAGAGAAGACTGGTGGTTTGACAAACTCTTTACACACACAGTCTGTCATCTAGGCAATGGCTACAAGCAAGGGCTTGGGTTTCTGTTTTGCTGGATATCTCTTCTCCAAGGCGAATACCCATCAGGGATTGCTCTGTTGAGCTCCCACCTCATTGGCATCTGTTTAACAAGTCTGTAGGGTAAGTACAATTCATACCACAGGCAACTTCTGTAATTACTATGCTTCAAAATGGATTATTTCATTTTCACTTGAAACTGACCTAAGGATTAACGTATTACAATAATTACATGATTTGCGGTAAAGGAAATGGGTTTTGGCTTCAAGAGGAGACTTCTGAAAGCAGGCCCCACTCTTTCAAGTGCATCCATTGGTTTTAGCTCCTATAGGATGCGAGGGTTTGGCTTTTAGGAACTATGTTCCATTAGGCAGGTATCTCTTTTAACCAGGATGCTCTTGTGTGTAGGGGAAAACAAACCCACCTGTGGAGTTGAGAGCATGTCCAGGCTCCAGGAACACATTTTGCCATCAGTAGAGACAGTGATGAGGTTGTGAGCATTCTGGGTCCCAACAACATTTACACAGTACACGGGATGCTGCAAAAACATAAACATGGAGGATCAGACACCGATCCAGGAGGAAATGCTTACATTGGAGTGTCAAACACATTACTCCAAAACAAGGATTAGAGTGCCATAATCCTACAATAATACAAGCCTCAGGTCATTTGCCACTTTTGATTTGAACCTGCTTTCTTTCTAAAAGCTCTGGCAGCAACACATAGTAGTGGAAATACAAAGCCTCCCCTTGCTCAGTCAGATGCAGTGCAAAGGAGCTGAAGGAAGCTAGGTAGAGCAAACGAGAAGCAGTGCAGGGTGGCGATTTAGATTACTTGAATGAGTCTCCACCACACAGTTTGGCTTCTAAGCTCACCAAGAAGGATGGAAAAAGCCAGTCTTCCAAAGGCGAGAACTACTGACTTTTGGAAGGAATAAGTATTACTAAATCTGGAGTTTAAGGCATCATGGTCACAGTGCCAAACATTCGTTAGCATTCTTTATGAAAAGTGGTTAATATTCATCACTCTCTTTAATTCGAGGGCGGATGGTGGTGGTGGAAATTATTGGCACAATGCACCTAGTGAGATAAAATTATGTTACTGCAAAATCTAGGATCATGATAGATTTATTTTTTCACAATATCATTTGGCACAGTGTAGAGGCTTAGATTTGGCAAGGGCCTTGAGAAAGGTCATTGATACATCCCAGGAGTTGTAAGCAAGATGCTCTAACCTTCCGTCATAACTCTAGTAGGTTATCCCAGTCTGTAGAGTCCTAAATGGTAGCTAAAATCATTTGCAGCTGCACATTAAATACTAAATGGAAGGTTAGCATAAGCAGAACCTAGCAGTAATTTGGGTTAGATTTCAAGCAGCTTAGCCCTCAGTGGCCAAACCACAACGTAGTTGATGCTTCTCTGTGCAAATAGCTGACAGCCTAAGTCTCACTGTTGATGAGTTACTGTCCATTATACCTACCCACAATGACAATGAAACAGTCCTTAATACTGGAAAGTTGATATTATGTAAAGAATGGTTCCCAAACTGTTATTATCATATAAACTCCTGGTCAGAAGGAACCATAATAATCATCTAGGGCAGCTGCTCATCTGCCTTTACCAAGAGGTGGTCCAAACTCTACTTAAACACCTTTCTTAGGGGTAGTCACTTTTAGCACTAGCTCCTGGAGTGTTCTTCCTTCCGCCAATGGGGTAAAGAAAGCTCAAGGAGATATTTTCAGTACGGTGCCCTCTGGGATTATACAGATCAAGCAAAAAGAATATTTAGATTGCTGTTATCACGCCCTTCCTCCCCCCAGTCTTCTCTTACTCAGACTAATGATCACCAATTCTTTCAACTGTTCCTCGAGTACTTGGTTTTCAATACCTTTCCCATCCTGGTCACTCTCTTTTGAATATGCTATATTGAGTTCTGGGAATGAAACATAACTATCTACCTGTGTTTTGACAGAGAGAATCTAGAAATCCAGGGAGTGTTGAATTGTCACTTCTCATGTGATAAAAAATATGTCTGTATTAACACATCCTAAGATTACATTCGCTTCCCTGGCAATCACATCACCTCTTTTACCCGCACTAATGGATAGTCAACTAAGTCCCTATGTCTTTTTCACACCATGTTCCTACAGGAACTTTCAAATGAATCAGTCTTAGTGGATCTGCCATCAGAGATCTGAAACTGAATGTTATCCTGATCAGGTCCCTAAGAATGAAGGGGATTAAGCGAATGTAATCGTAGGAAACATTAACTCTTTTTTGTTTGTTAATCTTCATCTGAGGATATTTTTTCCATTAGTGGGACTGTGGACATTGCTTTTCCCCAAGTCTCGGGTGTGTGGGACCTGCAGCAGTGTGCAAACGCGAGCCCCGAGCCACACAACAGTCACAGCTCTGCAGGAAAATCAAGTGGGAGAATGGATGAAACAAATCCTCACTTAAAAACAGCAGACTCAGCAAATTGAAGAATGGCAGATGGAAAAGGGTAAGAATCATATGACTTCACTTATGTGGAATATAAAACAGAAAGTAACAAATGAATGACCATAACAAACAAACAAACTCATAGACACAGACAGTATGGTGATTATCAGAGGGGACAGTAGGTGGGGGGAGGTAGAAGAAGATAAAGGGGGGGTGACAGAAGGAGACTAGACTTTGGGTAACGAGTAGACAATGCAATATACAGATGATGTATTATCATATTGTACAGTTAAACCTTATATAATCTTATTAACCAATCTCACCTAAATTTGTTCATTAAAACACCCTGAAGCATGGGAAAGCAAGGTCGAAACATTGTTGTGGACCTGAAACCTACCTGTTTTTCAGCAAGAGTCCAATGGGGTTTCTTTGTTAACCACCGACCATCAACACAAATCACCAAGACCCTAATGGACTAGGACTCCCACGAAAGGGTGTAGTAGGGAAAGAAGGCATCTAGAAGAATGTGCGGAGCCAAAGGCCTAGAGAAGGAGTATGTGTGGTAGCCCTTCCCTGGCTTTAATCAGTACGACTGGCCTGTGCTTTCATGAGTAATAAAACTCAGTTTACAAGAAAAGAGAGAGATGTAAAGAAACCAGAACAGAAGCAGACACGTGGGCATGTCTACTCATACACAGACACAAACATACACAACTCTACTTAATGGAAAGGAAAAAAGCAATGGTAGAGCTCATTTTTCCTGTATAGATGCCAGATTGTCTTTATTTATTTTAGGAATAAACTTACTGTGTGGCAGAAGGTTTTTGCTTTAATTAGGATTTCCTGTTGTCCCAAATGCATATGTGTGGTGGGTGTGAAAGGAAATTAGTTAGTAATCTGTGGTGGACCTCTTTTTTTCTTAACCACTTTTGATCCTGGTACCAATCAGCCAGGCATTAGTGGAAGTTGAAAGACAGTCACAAAATTTACTGGGCACTTTTTAAAGCTGTGGATTCAACATAAAACAGCAAAAGAGAAAAAGGAATTGTTTTATTTTCTAACAGAAATAATGTCACTGTTTGATAATAATTGTATTTTAGTTATGATGATCACATCCTAAGTTATTTGAAAGAGAAACATTAACTCTTTTTTGTTTGTTAATCTTCATCTGAGGATATTTTTTCCATTGGTTTTTAGAGATAGTGGAAGGGAGGGAGGGAGGGAGAGAAAGCGAGAGAGAGATAGAGGTTGAGAAAAAGAGAGACACTGATGTGAGAGAAGACAAATCGATTGGTTGTCTCCCTGATGTGTCCCTACTGGGGCCAGGGATCCAAACTGCAACCCAAATAAATGCCCTTGACCAGAAATTGAACCCACAACCCTGTGGTGGATGGGTCGAGGCTCTAACCACTGGCGAGGGTGAAATATTAACTCTTTAGAAGAATAATCTAACATTTGGATTTATAATTATTTGAAGTTTCAGAAGGTATGCTCACAAGCACACCAGATAGGCACATAGAGCCAAGAAGTGTTTTCACGCTACTTGAGCAAACACCTGCGTCAAGCCCATCTTCTCCTGGGTCACAATTTTCTGTCATTAGTTTGGTGAAATGGGTAGGCATGAGCAATTTTCCAAGATTCCCAAGAACTAGCTTCACCTGCATGTTTCTCGGGCCCCAGTCAATCAGAGTTAAGGCTGACTTGGTATTTGTCATTTCCTATTGTCAATCTTACAAAAGTGGAAGGATTTTCCTCCTCATGGTCTAGCTAAAACAGCTAGCGGTCTTTTTTAAAGCTAGAGTGGTTTTGAGGCCGCAGATGAAACAAATGAGGCAACCACATTAAGGAAATTGAAACAATAGTAGAGCTGTTTCCTTGGGCATAATTTGGGCATTTCAGAGAAAGAACATCAGTTACCCTGAATGTCAAGGTAGCAAGGATTGATGGAGACATGCCTGTCTTCTCATTCCTCCTAACAATTGCTGAACACACCTGTCATTCTCTTAAAGGAAATGACAGAGTAGTTGTCTTCCAAACACTATACTGAACCTCTTCTGCTAAATTATGGGTAATGGTTTTGAGATGTTAACTTTTAACCTTGGGGATTATATTGTCACTGCAGGCTTTACTGTTGAGACTTACACCATGCATTCCAGAATTTAAAGCCACAGCACTCCCTCCAATCACAAGTGAAATAGGTCCATTGGCAAGTCTCATGTGCCATCCCAAGACATGAAATGCTCACTCTTCATGGTCTGTTTGAGAATGAGTTTCTATGTTAAAATGTAAATACGAAGGGTTTGTTTAAGGAAACAATTTAACAAATGCCTCTTCTAAAGTTTCTCCCTGTGTCCTTTCTTAGTTTGAATCCACCCTTACCCGTGGCCTTGGGAACATCCAAAGGAATCCTTTGTATGTGCTAAAACTTGTAGAATATTAAGAGATTTCTCTAAACCCAGAGCTGCTTTCACCTACTTTGCACTCAGCTGTATTTTAGTCAGGATACAATTACTACACATTAGATACCTGGAACTTGGAATTACTGACAATATTGTACTTTTGTCAGTTATCCCTTCTTTCAGGGCTTGGATGGTTGACAGGGATGTGACAAAAGCTTGACTTACTGTGTGTGCAGCAGCTGACAGGGGCGTCCGCTGCACGGGCGTCCTCCGATGACTGCGATTGTCCCACAGGACTATCTGGCCGGAGTAAGTCCCACCAACCACCAAATTGGGATGGAAACGAGCAAAGCAGACGGACATCACAGAGGACTGTGAAGAAAAAGAAGAGAGATGAGCAGTGGGAGATGCTTGGAGAAAGCCTGTTCTTTCCTGAATAGAAAACAGCTCATTACGTAAATACAACACATCCTGAAAATATAAAGCAATTGTGAAGTGCACAGTGAGTAGGAAATTTTGTCCACAGACACAGACTTTACCTCGAGAGGGTGCCCAATGGTTAGCCCTTGAAACCTGGAAGTCTGAAGTCCTGGCCATGTCATCAAATAGGCATAAAACTGATCTGATGCCCATCAATGTTTTGTGGTCTGGAAAGCTTGGTTTATGGACCTTTCCCACTTACCAATAAAATTGTATCAGAGCTAATATTAATTCTCCACTGACATCTTTACAAAGCAATTCTCTATTTTGAGGTCATGGCCACATCAAGTTGTACTATGTACAGTGTTGGCAAGGCTTTGAAGACTCTGAGATGGGGAGCTTTTTTTGTTTTTGGCTTCATGTAGACTTCTAGGAAGAGTACTGACCTCAGGCTGATCCAACCGGTTCCTCCTCAAACTCCCTCCGCCTCCCATGAGCATTCTCCTGACCTTTATCCTGCCCACTTCAGACGACTCTTAATGTTATTCTTTGCCTATTTTAACAAACAGTCAGAAATGGATTTCAGTCCAACTCTGCCATGGCCTGTCATAGTGTCGTGAATGTGGTTTCTGAAATTCCACAAAAGACTACTGGGCACAACATTTTATAGGGAATTGCTTAGTGGAGACAGAGCCGTGATGCACTTAAAATCCGACCAGTTGGCTGGTCCACTTGAGCTTGGACGTCCATTTCGATTCCTGCGGTGTTTTCCGTGTTTGTGTTTATGCGCCGAAGCAACTGTTTTTAACTAACACATTTCATCCCTTCGATCAAACTCAGTAAGTGATCTTCTGTGTAAGAAAGGAACTGTTCCGGGCATGTTGGGAATGCAAAGGTAGTTAGTGGCTGCCCTCCCAGTGTGCCTGGTAAAGGAAACTAGAGGGTATGCGGGCCGAGCTGCTGCTAATCCGTGCACACAGCCCAGGCCTGCACACGAAATAGGAAAAGGCGCCTCTCCCACAGACACAGTCATGCGGGGAGGTGGGGTGGGGGGGCGTGCCATGGCCAGCGGAGAGAAGGTGAATCTCTGTCCTCGCTTGTCCCTTGGGCTTGACATCCCCCAAGTGTGCACACGTAAGTAGCAGCCTTGAATGTGGTACATGACTAAGTCGCAGGCGCACGTGTTTGTGTGGGTGTGAGGAGGGAAGATCTGTTTTAGCTAAGAAAGGGGAGGAAAGCGGGGAGGGGGAAGGGTGGGATGGTCAGAAAGACCTCATGGAAGGACATGCAGATGGAGTACATGTGGTACGTCCAGCAAGCGGAGGGGAAAAGAAACGGGCATTCCTGAGCCATGGAGAATGGGAAGGGAAGACTGCAGGCACCAAAACTGAGGCTGCTGAACAGCCCCCGGGCTGGCTGGCTGGGAACGGGCCCGCGTGGAAGAGGCCAGCCGTCGGAAATGGGGCTGGAGAGGTCGAAGAGAAGGCCCTGCATGGCAGGCACCGTTTAGATTTTTTTTTCTGTGGGCAATAGGGAGAAATCACAGCCTTCTAAAGTGAGAGGATCAAAGGTTGCAACTGACAAGCCAGCAAAGGAAAGAAGTGATTGGGGAAAAAAATTATGACCTCTTTCTGACTGGGAAGCTAAACACCCATTTCTAAAAAAAAAAAAAAATCAGATTTGCTACCAGCCTAAGGCTTTCTAGTCAGAAACAGTCTCAGACACTCTGAGGTAGATTAAAGAATGTGGACTATTTTTCAATGTCATGTTTTCCTAGTTTGAATGATTTTCAGTTCCAATTCCTTGAACACGTTTCAATGGAGAACATGCATGTGTGCCCCAATCTGGTTTTCATAAAGTTCAAGAATAACTCTCAATAATGATACTGAATTAAAGAAAAAGAAAATAATGCCGGTCAGCTTCTTGTTTTACACATCCCGCAGAAACGATTCTTAGTTTTCAATTGATGAAATTCTTATGTTGCTTGAGCTATGTTGGAAACGTTTTCTTTAAAGCTTCAGAAAGACTTAAAATTATCCAGGTGGTATCAACAATTGAATTTACCAAAGCTCCAATCAATATGGATAAAGGAATGTCATTAAATTAGAAAAATCCAGAATTCGACCACTTGATTGCTTCCGCATTTCAGTTAAATCCCCGCAAATACTGCTCCAAATTGCAGTTTGTTGAGAGACTAAACTAGAGAAACATAAACAGTGGGGATATTTCTACTAAACTGAAACACGCAGTCAGCAATCAACTAGACTCCAACCCCACAAAGTGAGAACTCTACTTCCTACTTTTTCATTCATTCATTTGTTCACTTCATTCATTCATTCATCAAACAGTGAGTGCCCACTAATAACTCAATTATGTCAAAAAATTTTAAATGTCACAAAGCCCCCAACTTGAATTCAGAAGTCTATCTACATTTAATAAAAGTCAAATTAATGCTAAACAAGAGTAACAGATCGCTGGAGCACCAGACTTCTGCCGCCAGAGGTTCCTTTGTTTTTCTACAAACCAATCTTTATAGTGTCTCCATGAGGAATGGAGTGGACATACTTACTGTTACTTTATATTTGAAAGATTAGAAATGGAGAAGTAGTTATAGGATTCAATGCTTTCGCTTATTTTTTAAAGCTTCATACATTAATTATACTATATAGTTTATGTAATATCGACTGTATATAAAGGCTCAAGCCAGATATCCAGGGTGTGCCGCATCTGACATGCGATCATTCATATGGAAACATTAAGGCAGTATGATCTCAATTATCTAAATGTAACATTTAGAATTCGGTCATTTCTTGAGATGTTTTTAAGTGCCCTGATGTTTGATGTAATGGTGGCAAACGTTTGGATGACTGACTGAATTTTTTAATTTTTCATCCAAATGTTTAGGTTCCTTTTGAACAGTCACCCAAGGAAGCCTTGACGGAGAAGGCTCCTCTTCTAATTTGGAAAGTACGCATCAACCTCCTAGGAGCAAAGTGTCTTGGAAAACCCCCAGTAACCTCCTGCTGTTCATACAGCTACTGATCTAGTTGTTGTTGCCAATTGTCATGGAATTTAGAGACTGTCAGCACCAAGAGCAAAGGATGATATCATCCTGTCAGTTACACCCACTGCTAAAGTGTAAAAAAGCATTCCAGAAAAACTGACTGACACTACTAAAATGTAATTTTTGTTGTTCTCATTTTTAACATACGTTTTCTGAAGACATATGCTATGAAAAGCATTAATAATACAGTTATTTTAAAAAATGTAACCACTTTTCTAGGCATTAATTCAGTTATTCAGTGTCATAATAAAGCATTATTGAATTTTATGATTAATACAATTTATGTGAACAAAATCTATTGGAAACAAGAAGTTTCCCTACCTTGTTATTCTGAGATCTATAGGAATATGTATCTATATAGATATTTTTGTAGTTTTAGCTTTTTACCTGTTTTATTTTCTTTAAAATATTAGGGCCTTAGAATTATTTTGAGAAATAATGTATGGCCTTTAAATGCTCAAACCAAGTAGTTTACATGAGTGGAAAATAACGGTTAAGTGGATAAGATTTTTGGATGATGTTAACTATCTAATCAAAGCTTTCCTGACACTACAGTTGAACTGTTTTCATAAGTCCAGTGACTTCACTGATGTGACCATGATGACAGTCAAATCAAGGGCCCAGAAATACAAGCACATGTTAAAAACTTGATGTAAAACCCATGAGCCTGACTGACTATATTCAAACAAGTAATACATGAGGTGTAATTCCAGGAAAAGCATCACGTTTGGATTATTTGCATAGTGTATAGTCCCCCTAAATTAGGACAAGCAAGGGTTTGAAGCTATGCTTTCAAGATCAGGCCATCTCTATCGACAGTTTCTGATGGCTTCTGCACACGCAGAGCCAGAGGCTCCGGAGGAAACTTTATTTTTCATCTTCCGCAGACCGCCTGGTTACTGGCTGTCCCTGCAAGGGCGGCGCCCCTCTTTACCCATATTGCCATATGTCCTCTAAACTGGGTCCCACACCCTCATGGTCCACTTCGGACCGGGCAGTTTATTTTAGCCCATTCATTGAAGGAACTCTACCCAGAGGATGCGGGTGGAGGCTTCACTTTCAATGTCTCCCTCCGCTCACTGCACAGCACTGTATTCAGTTGCTGTGGGCCCCAACCCCTTCTTAAGTGGCTGTGGGGGCTGTTTTCTATTTTATAGAGCTAATCCAGGCCAGTTCAGGGATGGTACTTCCCCTTAACCACAGACCCAGATGCCTCGGACGAACAGCCTTTGGTCATCGTTGGCTGGGCGGCTGGTCCCCTATGTTCACATTTGATCTGGTTTGTCCTTCCGTGGGTGGCACGTTGCCCACTCCCCAGACATCATTCCTAGGTGGGAGCCACAGGGGTCCTGCATTCAAAAGCATCTCCTATTTCAAGTACCATCTCTTCTGGGGAGAGGTTGGTCCCTGGAGAGGGAATGGCCATATTGCTGCCATATGCTGTTTAATGGTGGCTGACATTTTATTTGCCTAAAAGCAAATGCTGAACTGTCAGAGGGCTCCGAGGCAGACAGATCAGATGCTTCTGGCTACTAGTGAGCTAGTGTGTATTTCTTCAAGTACCTAAGAAACCCACAGAGATCTTTCTTTTGTTAATGGAAACACATGGAACTGGAGAACACTGCCGTCGAAAACCTCTCTTCCAGGCAATCATGTAGCACCAGGCATCTGACTGCATGCAAGGTGTAAAGGAGGCAAAGCCAAGACACAAGTCACAAGTCGGGCACTTAACTTTCATGGAGGTGAAGGGAAAGGGTCTTGTTTCCTTCTGAGCTCTCTTTTCTTTTGCCTAAGTTTCTATCCCAGGGTGCACATGTCATTTTTCTAAACTCTAAGAGGAGTGACCATCTACTGAAAGGTATTGCCCCATTAGGAATGGGGTACCCAG